CTGAAGGAAACATCAGGGAGCTGTCTCAAAGGGGGTAGAAGAAAAAGAAGGGTCTAGGCCAGTGGGTGGACTTCCACCACTATGGTCTACAGACTCCTGGAAATAGGCTCAGGCAGGTGAGGGGCCCGCCTGAGCCTGAGTTCACAAACTGCAGTCACAGGTCAGATTCAAATCGATCACCCATTAGGGAGGACCCAGCTATTTTGTGAGTCCTTACATCTATCTCCTTGTCTCTCAGCTGGAATTCTTTATTGAGTAGAGGGTGAGCCATTGCAAGCCAATTTGCATATGAACTAGGGATATAAAAGGGAGGGGGATGCTTTGCTTCTAACACCAGGCTGGGACAATACTTAAGGCTTAAAGAGCATTCTATTAAACATTATTCTTACTGCTTCTGCCTTCTTTCTGATTACTTCAATATTGTTCAAATTCCATCTTAATCGCATGCTAGTTATACATCTTGTTGTATTATTCTGGCAGAGTTTTATGGTATAAAACTTGGAAATCCCAAATACTCTAAAATGTGGAAGGCTCCAGATTTCAGATGGGAGATGTCATTCTGTAAATATGTTTCTCATACTGGTTAATGAATAAAGCATTGTTGGCCAATAGGAAAGGAAGATAGGAGGGACTAGGAAGCAAGGAGGAGAGAGGAAGGAGTAGACGGAGAGAGCAGAATGCCGGCGGGCTCTCTCTCCGGTAAGATAAGACCACGTGGAGATTAATAGAAATGGGTTAATACTTAAGACAGAGCTAGCCGATAAGAAACAAGTAACTGGCCAAAAGCATTATATCAAATACAGAGTCTCAGTGTGTTATTTGGGGCTGGAGCAGCAGCGGGATAAGACCAGCGGTGGGGGGAAAACCTTACTCCTTACATGTTTCAGTATCCCAATGCAGTAAAGTCTTCGAAAATATTCTAAAATCCAGAAAATCCCCAAACCTGAAACACATCTGGCCCTAAACACCCCAAACAAGGAAAACTCAGCCTGACTTCACCTTTGATTCTTCCTGATATACTTTCAAGTGCTGTTACAGCCATGTGTGTGGCCTGAGACCCTCCCCCTGCCCTTTGTACTACTGTCATGCATCTTACATTACACTTGATTTCAGACAGAAGTCAGCGGATTGACCTCAGGCTACAAGGTTATCACTTTTGGTTAAGTAGTCTGCTCATTAATGACATTTAAGCTGGGCAGAGTGGTACACACCTGTAATCTCAATACTTGAGGAGCAAGAGACCCATCTGGGCTACACAGTGGGACCCTGTTACCAGAATGCCTGTGTGTGTGATTCAAATACTGAGCAAACACCTTATTTGTTTACTCATGCACTTACTAACCTTATATTTTTCATGCTGGGATCCTTTTCATTTTACCCAAAGAATGTTCTTATTATTTCCTGCAGCAAAAGCCTTTCAACTTTTGCAAGTGTGTGATGTATCTTTATTTTACCTCTGCTTTTGAAACATCATTCTGTTGGATATACAGATTTAGGTTGCTTTAGTACCATTCATAACTTTAAAAAAAAAATGCTCTTCTACATCCTCTGACTTGCTGGCTCCCAATGAGAAATCTGCTGCTGGTTTTACAGGCAATCCTTTCACACGGAGCATTTCTTTTTAAATGTGGTGAAAGCAATCATTTCAGCAGAACACTGTTCCTCAATCCTTCTGAGTGATGTCTTACTCAGCTTTGAGGAGTGCCCTCACACTTGTAAGGAGCTATCCTCTGAGCCCAGCTGCTGCCATCTTCCTGAGATCAGCTGAGAGCCCATCGTTAGTGGGCCAGTGGGCTATTGGCATCCCCCCAGAGAAGGAGGGGGTGGGAAAGAGCACTGGACCCTTGAAGGGTATCTCAGCCACTTCTCCCAGTCATTTGCATGCAATCTTGTCCTAATTGGATGTGGTCTGGGGTCTAGACTAGAACATGTATATGAGGTTCTTCACTTATGCCTCCACCATGGACTTTGCTCATTTAATGCTTTAGAGTTAGTTATGCTCCTGTCAGTAACCTCACACTCACCTTCTATAAGTAACCCAAAAAACTCACTTGTCCCCAGGGTGAACTGTGGAAAAATCATACCTTGGTTTGTTGTTAGGGTCTTAGGAGGAGTGGCAGATGTGGCTCATATCCATGGGGATTTTACACACACACACACACACACACACACACACACACACACACACACACCAGCATTAAGAGTTGGATTCTTTATAGGAACCTGCTGCAGATATGAGTTCCTGCTTGGTCTGCTATTCTGTCCTGTGAATTCACGGGCTTTGGTCTCCTTGGGAGGTAGAGACAGGAAGCAAGTAATAAGCTGGGATGGAGACAGGATCTCAGCTTTTGGTGGAGGATCCGGAGAGGTCAGAGGTCACTGTGGCTGCTCCTCTGTTTCTCTGATCTTCCAGGCTATTATCCTCATATCTGACTCTGGGTTTTTATAGGTAAGATTAGTTACATTAACACTTCACACAGTCATCCTTAGCCATTAGGGGTACGATGTGCTCACATGAACTGACCTATAGGGAAACACTTCTTTATATGAAAGCCATGCATCCTAGGCTTTGCACTCAAAGACTGACCAACAATAATGCAAAGACAGAACCAATTAGAGGAATGAGAGCCTGGAAGCAAAGAATTAGAAGTGCCTTTATTTGAGAGCCTCCCTTCTGCTTGCATCCTGCATCTATCAACTCATTGAGAAGATTCTATAAGCAGCAAAATATTACTCTCCCAAGATGTAGCCTTTCACCCCCCCCAAAAAAGCAAGAACTTACAAAACACTATAAAAACAACAGCCTAAGATCTTCTCAATATTTCCAAGCACAACGTGGTTATGACATTAAAGTCAGCCATTGCATGTTATGAGAAATCCATTCGTAGACAAAAGGAGTCTTGGGATCTCAAAACTCCCACAGGGATACTCAAGAGCAGCCAACTTGAGATGGAACTCTCATCCAGGGAGTTAGGAAAAAATGGTTACTGTTTTGTATTGGATCTCAGGAGATAATTAAGAGCCCCCATTCTTCCTTAAGACCATAACGAGCCACTGCCCTGGCTACCTTGGAGGACCTGGCACAAGCGTGCTGCAGTGTCAGGGTCACTATTTTTCATTCTTCCCTGCCCAGGGGTCTCTCTCAAAACATCCTGCAGGGAAGATGCACGTGTGTCCTCTAGCACCCCTGCCATCTTGGTTATAGCTTTGCTCAGCCATGCTGGCTTTCTGGTGAGCCAGAACAATAGCCCATAGGAGAAGCCCTCCAGCACGCCGGTAGCTCCGTTCCCTTCCACTTACCTCTCCACACAGTTCCCCAACTCTGAGGAACACTTTCCAAAACATTCCCTTTTGATTTTTCTAGAACTTTCCTTGGCTTTCTCTTGATGTTTCTCAACTAAAGCTAAAATGTTTCTTCTTCCTTTTTAGACATACTTGTTTTAAGTGATCTTCAGCCAAATTCAGAGCAAAGGCCCAATGGGGGGGCTCATTCCTTCCATCTTCCCTGGAAGGTATCCTCTGGAAACTGTGGAAGCTACTGAGTTCAGACTGTGAATGGCTGAAGTGGGTCATTTCTTGGAGTTACCAATACTGTTTTTCCTTTGTGATTGAACCCAAATTACTGCCACAGCCAATGTGTGACCACTGAGTCACAGATCTACAATGCCACATCCACATGCCCTGTTCACCGACACACACACACACACAGAGAGAGAGAGAGAGAGAGAGAGAGAGAGAGAGAGAGAGAGAGAGAGTATTTTGTGCCCACTTTCTCTCACTGGTATTGTCCAACACAGGGTGAAGTTTTCTTGAATCCTACTCAGCTCTCAGGATCATGGGAGAGCCTGGTACAGATCCCTTCCTGTTATGTAAATGCTTCTCTAAGCTGAAGCACTCCTTCCTGCAAAGAGGAGGATCATAGATTCAGAAGGCCCAAAAATCTGACAAAAGTCACACAATTTACAAGATCCTACCCCAAAGCAATAAAAGTAAAAAGCAGTTGCTGGGGAGAGAAGACTTGTTCTGAGAGAGCTGCATCAAAGTTGTACGGGGAACCCCAGGGATGCAATTTTCATGAGTTGTCACCCATGCCTGGGGAGTAAAGGCAGGGGGAATACACCATGACATAAATAAGGGTTGTACAATTAGGAAGAATTTTGTGAAGAATAGACATCATTGTAGGGCTAGGGAGATGAAACACTGGGCAAAAGTGCTTGCTGTGAAGGCATGAAGATTTGAGTTCAAATCCCAGAAGCCACGTAGAAGCCAGACATGTTAGCATGCATCTATAATTGAGTAGTGAGCTCCTCAGTGATGTGTATGCCTTTGTATCACCCAATGTTCCTATAAGTAACCCTAGTGAACTCAGTCACTGGTTCACCAAGCTGGACTTTGGTAGCATCATTTCTTTGGTCTGCCATCCATGCCCTATCTGGGATGAACAGATGTATCCCCAGGAAAAGCAACACAATCCAGCTATCCTCTGAGCCCCCTCAGCTCCCATTAACTCACATTGCACTTTCTCCCTCCTAATTTCCCTCACTGCACATCCCAGGCGAACCTAGACCCAGAAACATTGCTGTAGTCTGTAAATGCTCTTTCCTTCCCAGTTGGAAACTCTTGGAGTCACTTCCTGTGTTCTCCCCATGGGACTAATGGAGCAGAGCTTTGATCATCTGAATCTTTGGTGGCCATTTCCTATCCTGTCCACCACAACCTTCAAGTTCAATGACATTCACCAGTGGTCTTCATGGCCAGCCACTGCATGCCAAGCATTTCACCAACATGGTCCACATAAGTTCTTACAACAGCATATAAGGGACAAGCACAGGTCACAAGCTAATATTAAGTACCCAGAATCTGGGACAGTGACAGTTTCCTTCAGATTCAAAGACTTGTTTTGCCCACACATCCTGCTCCCCCATGCATACTGTACTGTGCAGAGCCACGAAGATCTGGTGACCCTGGGGCCCACGGGCCTGCTCAGTTTAGGAGCTCACCATGCCTCCGGTGCATTCGCGACAGTTCTGTAGGCAGCTGACAGTCTCCCAGGTACTGTAGGCTTTCAGCCCAGCCATCAGAGCCTGTAGGGAGCGACTGGTGATGAGCTCCCTCCCCTGGAAAATGTCTTCATCCAGGACAAAGGCTGCATGCCTGTGAAACAAAGCAGAGATGGAGATGAGTGGTAGGTCAAACACATGGGGAAAAAGCATGCATGAGCCCCAGTTGCTACCCAAGATCCCCTTCAAAACTGTCAGGCATCACTGCTGCTAAATTTACAACCACCACTCTCCTTGCATAGAAAGGGTCTCCTTCACTTTCTGCCCAAGTTTGCCTTTCTTTCTTTGGCTGAATCCTAAGCCCTTTGCGAATGCTGGCCCTTGTCTCTGCACCATGCTTACCTCACATTGTGAATTTATCATTTTTAAAATTCCCCCTCTACTGAAAATTCTGCACTAGATGTATAGTAAGAAGAATAGTAGTCTCCAAAGAAGGGCATATTCATACTTCTGGAACCTATGTTACCTCATACATCAAAAGGGACTTGGGAGATGTGACTAAATTAGGGTCCTGGGGAAATACAGCTGGGCCAACATAATCACAAGTGTGTGTGTAAAAGGGAAGGGGATAGGGAAGGGAAGGGAAAGGAAGGGAAGGGAGCGAACAAATGTAAGGCAGAACTAGGAGCAGACATTGCTGAGTTTGCAGAGGGAAGGAGGGGCCAGCTCCAAGAAGCTTTTAAAAGGTCAAGGATGGGAAAAAAGTACCTTACTTAGAACTTTCCAAAAGAGGCAGACTTGCTAATTCCCTGATTTTCAGCCAACAAGACCCATTTTGATTTCCAACTCCCAGAACTGTAAGATTACAACGCTGTGCTGTTTTGTGTCACCAGGGCTGTGGATTGCAGCTGTGCCTTCCACAGTTTGACTTAAGTGTGGGCAACTAGGATCTGAAAATACTCAATGGAGGAGTCCAAAAATAAACAGGTCCTAAGTTTTAAGCCTCACACTGTTCTGGACAGCATGCTAAAACTTCACAGCTTCTCATTGTACCTTTTCCTGTAACACAAATTATTTCACACATATCCACATTATATCCATTCTAGCCACTCGCTAGTGACTTGTACGAGTCTTAGTTCTCTGACTGACTGTTGTCCTGTCGAGGTGCCTGTGCCCGGGTAGCCTTTACATGGATGCCTGTATGACTCCTCTCACTTTGCTCACCTCACAGGCACTGCAGTAACTCACATAATAAAAGCGGTGGATGCAGAACAATCAGGCGTTTGGAAAGAGAGGTAGATCACACCCACGGAACATCTTCACAATATATAGTTAGTTACAATTGTACAATTCTGTTATGAATGTGCCAAATTTCTTACATTGCCTAATTTTATAGATGATATAGATTTATTATATGTATGTATGGGAAAACAGTATATGTTGGGTTTGATATCATCCTTGGTTCTAGGCAGCCATTGGGTATTGGAATGATTTCCCAGAGATGGGAACTGCTAGACTTGCAGCAGTAGCTGAAAGCTAATGCAGATTATGATTAGTTCCTTCTTCAAAATGTTTTCACCATGCTCCTTTGTTTTTAGCCATCTGTGGGCATGACTTCTATACAATGTCTTCTATGCGTCCTTTCACCTCCTTCTTCTGCTCTTTCTGTATTTCAAAATGCCATATTTGAAGAGGGCAGGCTCTCTCTCTCTCTCTCTCTCTCTCTCTCTCTCTCTCTCTCTCTCTCTTTCTCTCCTTTGGATCTCTTCACTATGGTCCCATCTTCAGCTTCTTCCAACAGGTTACCAAGTAACTAATGTTGTTCAATGTAAAAGTTTTCCAGACTTCTCTCTATATTCAATCAACTCTAGGACACAGAAAAGGCCCTAAGCGCGGGCATTAAGGTCAAGGGTAGCCAACACCAAGTATTGACCCTCTTCTCAGGAACTAAGACTTACTGGAAATGTCCAGACTGGTATACTAAAGAATGGTCACATTGCCTGCTGTGATGTTCCCATATCCACTTTGGGAAATTAACTGGTGTTGTAGTTATTCAGGTCTTGTTTAGGCAGCCGTTTTGGAACTCTCAACAAAATGAGTTTAAAATTCTTACCTTGAAATTATTTGCTATTCATATTAATATTCAGGCATCTGTACTGGCCTGACCTTGGGGTTCTGACAGGATACACCCTCAGCTGCAGCCACTAAGAGCACCACCCATGCATATTCACTATGTTCCCTTTTAAAAGGGCCCTGCCCACCTCCTATTCCCCTCTCCCTTTTTCTCTCCCTCTCTCTGATCTGCTCTCTCTCCCCCTCTCCCTTCTTTCTCCCCCTCTTTCCTTTCTCCTCTCTCCTGCTGCTCCTATCTCTGGAGGCCAGTCTCCCCCCCCCCACTCCTTTCTCTAATTTAAAAACAAAAACAAACAAACAAACAAAAACCGTCTGCTTGAACCATGGCATCTTTCTCTCAGGCACTGCTTTTCTTAAATTACAACAGTTTATTCCTACATCTTTGTTCCTCCCCTCCCTCCATTCCTGTCTTATTCAATGCCACCCATCATAGCCCACCATTAACTTTTTTAAATTTTTGTTTGATTTTTTGTTTTAGTTTTTTATTTGTTTTTGTTTTTTGTTGTTTGTTGGGTTTCTGTTTGTTTGTTTGTTTGTTTGTTTGTTTGTTTTTTGAGACAGGGTTTCTCCGTGTAACAGCCCTGGCTGTCCTGGAACTAGCTCTGTAGACCAGGTTCGCTTTGAACTCACAGAGCTCCACCTGCCTCTGCTTCCTGGGTGCTGGGATTAATGACATGTGCTCAGCTCCAACCATTAACTTTTAAAAGAGAAAATATTTATATGCTCTGAAGAGAAAACATAGAGCCACAGTTAACTTTTAAACTATGTTCTGGTTTGCTGAGATAAACACCATGACCAAAAAAGTAACTTAGAGATAAATGTTTTATTTGGAGCACACTTCCAGATAACAGTCCATCACCAAGTGAGTCAGAGCAGGAACTCACAGCAGGAATCCAGAGCAGAAAAACCATGGAGGAAGCTGCACATTGGCTTTCTCCTGCCCATGTCAGCCAGCTTTCTTATACAACACAGGACCACCCACAGAGGGCTGGGCCCTTCCACAATAGGCATCACAGAGCCCCCAGAAGACACTCTCACCTGGGCAATTAACCAACACATACTACATACTAGGGCTTAAAATATGTACTGTGGCTATATAACTCCTTCAGTGGTGTTGTGTCACTGTGTAGGGGATACAGGAATGTTTTCCCATACCATGTGCTTCCATTTCATTTCCCCATCCATTGTGTTACCCATATGTTTATAAATGAGGGAGGAGGAGTAGGAATGAGCATACAGAGAGAAGCAGCTTTAATAGCACACCAAAATGACCCCTCATGCTTTTATAGTGCATCCCTCCCTCCTCCAGTCTCATCCCTAGGTCAGGACAAACATGCTCTTTGTCCTTACAGTAGGACTGTACAGTATGTGCTGTGCCTTCCTTATTTCAGTTATTGTGTTATGTTGAGATTCATCCTGCTACAGCATGTATTAGTCACTGTTATTTTCTTCATTTTATGGAGTACATATACTGTACTTGAGCTGTATATTTGATTGTTTAATGAACATTTCATTTATTTCCTGTTTGGAACTATAATACATAAACTTGCTATGAAAATGTATGTGTTCATCTTAAAGGAGGCACATGGCTCCTTTTCTCTGAGGTAAATATGTAGCAATGAAATGGTTGGTAGTGTTGGGGGCAGAGGCAAGCAGATCCCTGGGGATTGCTGATCCCTGGGAAACCTGTCTAGTCCAAACAGGGAGCTTCCCATGCAGTGGGAGACTTTGTTTCAAGTAAATAAAGTAGACAGAGATGGAAGAAGTCATCCAATGTGCTCCTCTGGCCTCTGTATTTGAACACACACACACACACACACACACACACACACACACACACACACCAATCCTCTGCTCTGTTGAGTTATCTTGAGATGCTGAATGAGTTAACACATGTGAAATCGTAAAGGCTTCCTACATTATACACACTTGAATATGCATAGCAGTTATCTGAAATTTATCCTCCCAGGTGCTAAGTGGAAAACAATTCTCTAAAGAACGATTAAGTCCAGCCGAAAGACAGATACATGAGCATCTCTACACCCTTCCCTCCACCCAGGTCTTGTAGCCAGCACTGACTGCTTGAGATGCCCATAAGCCATGAGTAAATAAGAGGTAGACTCAAACAATGCTCTGAGCTGGGAATTATGAATAGCGTTTTTTATAAAAGTTGTTAGTTACTTTCTCAGCTAGATTTCTTTCTATAGCAAAGCTCTCTAGATGGTTCCAAAGGGAAGTGTCAGTCACAAGCTTCCCTGGGCAGTAACTTCTGAACTTCACAACATGAAATCCAGGCTCTACACACTATCAGGATGGTTTAAATGCAAAACTCTAAGCAACTCCTTAGCCAAATATGATGTCATTGAACAAGGTATTTTCATCCCCTTAGTTGAATTTACCTATGCAGAGTCAGGAACCATGAGATAGGAAGATGCCAAATTATGGACCCTCAACTTCAACCAAGAGTAATGGTGGAATGATGAAGTGGACTAGGTCATTCCTTATTCCAGGAAGTGGCTTGAAAGAGCCTTGTCTAAGAAGACTGTCCTAGAGAAGGAAAGCAAGAATGTGAGGGACAGGTGCTGCAGGTACATCAGGAATCTGATGGGAGGAGTGTGAGCTCAGGACTGAGCTTGGGCTCCAGAGGTAGAGCCTAACTTGGGAGAGACATGGTCAGATGGACAAGGCCCTCCAAGGCCACACAAAGGAGCTGGAACTTCCCCAGAGTAGAAGATACTTGAGGTTCCCAGTGAGAACTCAGGCTATGTTTCAGGCAAGAGGTGGTGAATCTGAAGAACTCCAGGTTGGAGACGATCGTAAGGGAGTGGAACCAAAGAGGGTCAGGTGAGATGATAGAAGGAAATCTAAGTGTCAGGAGGTGAGAACTTGCAGGGCGGGGAAATCGAAGGTTTGCAGACCATGTACCACATTTTCTCCATCTATTCTCCATTTGATATACAATAAGGTTGACTCCATTACTAATGCTGGCATAAACTTAGATACTCAGATAAAACAAACAACAACAACAACAAAAAACAAAACAAAAGGAACATTTGGAGGAATTTTGCGCGTAATGGCCACAGCAACCAACGTTATTGAGCATCCAGTACTTTGAGCACATCCAAATCTTCATACATTTGATCCTTACAAAAAGCCCGAGTCAGGTTTTGTTATAACTATTTTGTATGTGGAGAAATTCCAAGTTACACAAGTAGCAAATGGTGGGATCAAGTTACATAACCCAGAGGAAGCCCATCCCATCTCGCTTCTGCTGTTGCCTTTCTGCCGGTGGCTTGTGATTTCATCACAAGACACAGGGGACAGGCAGGGACAGCTGACTCTGGCTGCAGAGCTGTTTTCTCTGCTTACTAACTCCAGGTTTGTATACCTAAAAGTCTAGTCCACCCCCTGTTTGAGTAGAACCCAAGGCCCTGAGTATTTCACCAGTCAGGCCTCAGGTTACCCAGCCCCTAAGGCCAGAAGCCAGCTAGCAGCAGCATGCATCCAAAGAAGTTGGAAGACAAATCCCATGGCCAGGTTTAATAACCTGTACGGAGAAGTAAAACAAGCAGAGGGGGAGGGGGAGATGTCAGCACAAATTCTGGCCATGCTGCAACAAATTGGACTGGCTGCTTCCTTAGAAGCTGAAGGTCGGGGGAGCCTCTGAGGTTGGCCTCTGACCTCTTTATACACATAGCAAACAGTCAAGAATTTAGAGTGCCATGGAGCAATCAGATCAGTGATGTGTTCAACAACACAGCACTACGCATGTCACACAATAATGGCTCTATTATTTGGTATTAATTAGTGTCAATCACTTGTCATTTCTCACCTTGAAACCCAAGTGGCAAACCAAACCAAGCTACAGGAATAGAAACTGGAATGTGTACCATCTCAGCTGTAGTGACGTGGGGTTCAACTCTAAGGAACACAGAAAGCTTCCCACGGTGATGAAAATGTGTTTGATACACAGCTGTTCATATTTTCGCAAACTCACTAAACGATACACTACAACTTGTGTATTTTACTCGATGTAAGCTGAGCCTCAGAAACACCAGGGACAGAGCCCAGAAAGTAGCTTAGTGATGCAGCACAGGCTCAGGAGGTGTGGCAACCTCATCAGTTTTCGTCAACTTGACACAAGTAGAGTTGGCGGGAAAAGGGGTTACCTTCATCAGACTGGCCTGTAAACAAACAAGCCTGTGACTTTTTTTTTTTTTTTTTTTTTTTTTTTTTTTTGGACTGATGGTTGACATGGGAAGGCCCAGCCCACTGTGGGTGACGCCACTCCTAGGCAGATGGTCCAGCACTGCATGAGAAAGCAAGCTGAGCAAGACAGGGGAAAGCAAGCTAGTAAGCCGAGTTCCTCTATACTTCCTGCCCTGAATCCCTCAGTGATGGATTAGTATACAGAATTGTGAGCCAAATTAACTCTTTCTTTCCATTGTGCTTTTGGTTAGTGTTTTATCACAGTAACAGAGTAGCACACTAGGACACCTTGGAACTGGAGAGAAAATTTCAGAAAAATTTTAAGTAACAGATGTTGAATGTATACTTTCTCAGGTAGCTTATTTTTCCGTCCACGGTATTCATTCCTGGGCACTCCCTGGAATCCTGGGCTCCACTCCCTGCCTTGTGTTATGAGAAGCCCCTCGAGGCAGGTCCAAGGACTGTGGCACTCCACAGGTCAGCAGTACATCAGACATGACAGGGTTTCTCTGATGACCCTCGCCTTACAAGTCCCAGCACACACTCATCCTCAGTGTGTAAACTTCTCAACAAGTGTGTGGCTGGAAGTTATCCAGAAGCCCACTGCAGCAATCCCACTGAGAAGCAGAATTAGCATGTTAGAGAGAGAAAAAAAAAAAAAAAAAGAACACAAGAGAAGGTCTAAAGTTTGACATTCTTTTCCTAGTCTACATCTTCCTGGGTCCTGTGATTTTAGGCAAACCTCAGTTTCTTGTCTTTAGGATGTAGGGGTAACAATAACACAAGACACACAACCCAGGCCCTGCCCAAGTGCTGAGAGACAGAGTGTCTGATGCATCTATCGGTGAAGCCTCTGGTGAGCGTTGGAAGATGGCTCAGCAGTTCAGATGCACATACACATATGCTCACACATAAATAAATCTAAAACAAAAAATTTAAAAGCCTGTGGTGAGGTTGCTCATGCATGTGCAGTTACAGTACCATCTCATCTATTTCATTCAGTGCCTTCTCTTCCCTCAACACACACTCAGCACACACACCCCTTAATCTAGTTTTCAAAGCTTTATTGTCCATTTAGAAACTTTACCAGAAGTTGTAGGTATTTAAACTGTTCAAATCTGTTACTTTTTCTGATTTTTTAAAATAATTTTTATTTTGTCTTATGTGACTGAGTATTTTGCCTGCATTCATGTCTATGCACCACACAAGTGTCTTGTGGCCACAGAGGCTGGAAGATGTCATTAGATCCCCAGAGTAGAGATGGTTATGAGCCACCACGTGAGTGCTGGGAATCAAACCCCGCTCCTCTGGAAGATCAGCCATCTCTATAGCCTCCATCTGTTAGTTTTAGTATCTGCAGACAAGCACCGAGTGAAATCTTCTTGATTTCTTGGCAGGTTCCATTCTTCTGGACACTCAGTCACATTTGGGGTTTCACCTTGAACCTGGGCATCAGTTTTTCCCCACAGGCCCTTTCCTGATCACAGTTAGAAAATAAGCTTTGTGCCCTACCCCCATAATGGCTTCTTGGGAATGAACATTTCCAGAGCTTTCTTACCTGCTGGTAAAGGTCAGGGCAAGCGCCGTGGCCAGGTGAGGCATCAGCCTGAGAGTCTGCACTTGGTGCTCGATGACCTTCACCTCTTCTTTGCCCTTGGGCCCAAACTGCCTTCGGCTGGAGAGAATGAACAAACACAACATTTTCCACAATGCAGTAAGTAGGTGACTTCATTTTCACAGCTGCAAGTGGCAGCCAGCCATTGGTGTTTCAACTGCTGCAGGATGCAGAAACACAAGACTCCTAAAATGTGATTAAGACAGTCCAGGCTTCTGAGGCAAGCCCAAAGAAAGCTTTTTCACTTTCCTAGAAATGAACCTTCCCACCATGGGATCCGCATAAGGCAACGGATCTATCTACTACATGGAGTAATTTGTACTCCTTAACATTTACATGACATCTTAGAGCTCCAAGTGCCCCGTGATCATTAATTATTCAGCTTTACTAGGTTTGTGACATAATTAATAGGATGGGAGCTGGAGCCTAGGACATATTTCAAATGGACACTCTCAACAAGGAGGGTGGCGGTGGCCTCCATGCTCCTGTGGGAGTCACAGGCTGAGCATGCTCAGCCCTCCTACGCCCCATTGCAGTTCTGCATGGAACAGTATTCCACACATCCTGAAGTCCCTGTGTCTTATTACAGTGCTGCTGGGCACTTGGGGGCAGAGACCTCTCACGTTCTTCCTCACCACAATTCCTGGGACTGTCCCTGCTGCGATGCCCATGGGCAAACCCTGGTGCTGGCCAATACTCTCTGACTCTGGGGTTGGTGACATTCAATTTTTAAATAGCCATGGGCTTAGTTTTAATTTTTAAAAAGCAACACTTTACATGTGTATACACACACACACACACGCACGCACGCACGCACGCACGCACGCACGCACACATGTGCGCGCGCGACCATTATCAAATACCCAAAGCAAGACTGTGTTATAGACACTACTGAGCCAAGGATATCCACACACTTAAGGGCAAAGTTTTCAGTTTTCATGTTTGACACATACTTTCTTCAACATAATTTTATATTTCAGTATATTTTCATTTGTGATAAAAAACAAAAAGGTACCCTGATCATTTTAGTACCTAAGACAGCAGTTCTCCACCTGTGTGAGGGTCACAACACCTTTGGGGGGCTCATATCAGATATCCTCCACATCAGATTTTTACATTATGATTCATAGCAGTAGAAAAATTACAGTTAGGAAGCAGCAACAAAAATAATTTTATGGTTGTCAACACCACATGAGGAACTGTGTTAAAGGGTCTCAGCATTAGGAAGCTTGAGGACCTTGGCATAAGGCATTCAGAAGTCACAACCCGGCTGTCCCACGGAGGTTGGGAGGGGATGAGGCAAACAAAAACAGGCATACAGAGGGGCAGATACTACAAGCAGAGAGAGCAGACAGCCCTGGGCATGGTCTGACCACTCCAGATGGTTGTACCAGGAACAATCTTATTCCTTGCCCTTGGTCCACGCCCTTTCTTCCACACTGTCTCCACCCAACCACAGCAGGGCATGGTCTCAAATGAGAGGTTGAGCAGCATGCAGGGCAACCTCTTTGCTTCAACTGGATCATGATGAGACCAAAAACAGAAAGAAAAAGAAATTACATTTTCAATAATGGTGTCATCGTAATGTTAGGTTATTGCTATGGACTGGATTGTGTCCCCACAAAATTCATATGTTGAAGCCCTAATTCTCAAGTGACTATGTGGAGATAGGGCTTTTAGGAAGTAATTAAGGTTAAATGAAGTCATAAGGGTGGGGTGCTAATCTGATTTACCCAGCAAGCCCTCCTTCAACTCCATGTGTTGAAGGAAGGTCAGGTGAGGACACACAGGAAGGCAGATCAGGAAGGCAAACCACACAGACACCGAATCTGCCAGTTCTTGGACCTTGGCATTCCAGCTTCCAGAACCACAAGACATGAATGTCCCTTGTTTAAGTCACCAAGTGCATTGTGTTTTTGTCATAGCAGCATAAATGGTTTCATGCAGTTACTTAAAATGTTCTATTTGTCCCCACTCTTTTGAGTTTTTAATTTTAGGTTTTATAATTTATTCTATAGCTTTATTTCTAATTGTTAAAGCCATATACAACCTACTCCTCTGGGAGACAGCTGTGCCTGACCTGTGCCAAAAGCAGATTAGGTTATGGGTGTCTACCATGTTTGAGGTCAAGTCCCAAACATGGGGCTCACAGCCCAGATCACAGAGAAGACCCAGATAGGTGACCCAGCCTTCCATCCCTGTCAATCAACAGTGTTTCATCATGCATTTCCAAAATATCATTTCAGGATACTTTATTCAGAGATGGCAAAGGAAATAATCAATAACAACATCTATTAGATCTTGACTTGCTGAAAAGTCATGATATCCACACAATTTTAAACGGCATTCTATCAAAGTTTCTGTTTCTTCATGCAAGTCTTTGTTTTTTGGCACAGCACACAGCAGATGATAATGAATGAATGGGTTTTTCAAATGAAAAAATGCAGACAAACATGGAAGAATGGCCTGATCGAGGCCTCAGGGAAGGTTTTTGGATGCTAGATCAGTGTGGTTAGTGGTGGTTGTCAACCTGACAGATCTAGGAGACCAGCCTCTGGGCAAGCATGTGAGGATTCTCTGGTTAGGTTTACTGAGGTGGGGAGTCCCACCATGAATGTGGGCACCATTCCATGGGCTGGGGTCCTTTATCACTCCCTTCTTCTGTACTACAGAAACAATATGACCAGCTTCCTCACACTCCTGCTGCCACGCCTTCCCCACCATGATGGACCAACGCTTAAACTGTAACCTAAGATGAACCCTTTCTTCCTTCAGCTGCTTCCCCCACACCCCAGGGTGTTCTATCACAGCAACAGAAAACAAAGCTAATACAATCAGTTCCCCAGTGTAGGCATAATTTGTGATGGTCCCATTTCCTCTTTGATCCTCATAGTTCAATTATGGTAATAGGTGCAGGCCTGAGAGACCACTAGTAGTTCACACAGCAGGCCTCAGAGTATATCTCATCATGTGACCAGGAGATCAGCCAATCCACTGCAGGATTCTAGGTGATTTCACAAACTTGAGAGGTTTCACAAGAATATATGCATTTCCAACCTTCCTTGTAAACTAGGATGATCCAGCAACTGTTGAGTCTACTCTTATGATGAGTTACGCTGGACCTTAGGGCCACCAAACTGCTTGCTTAGGGCATAGTTATCTCTGCTCTTTGAGCCTCCAGAACTCAATCCACTCATTGAGTTTAGCTGATGGCTCAGAAGGCACTGATTTTCAAGCCCCATTGTCTTAGTCAAAGATCTACAGCTGTGAAGAGATACCATGACCATGGCAACGCTTATAAAAGATAGCATTTAATTAGGGCTATCTTACATTCAGAGGTTTAGTCTATCATCATCATGACAGGAAACATGGCCACAGACATGGTGCTGGAAGTAGCTGAGAGTTTCTACATCTCAGCAGGCAGCAGGAAGAGAGTAAGCCACTTGGCTTGGCTTGAGCTTCTGAAACGTCTAAGTCTGCCTCTAGTGACACACTTCCTCCAACAAGGCCACACCTACTCCAATAAAGCCGCATATCCTAATCCTCTCAAATAATGCCACTCCCTAAGAGCCTATAGGAGCCATTTTCATTCAAACCACCACACCCATCATGGTGGGGTTCTTTTCTTCAGCCACAATAATTTATCATCACCTCCTAACCTATTGATTAGTTGAGACACATAGCTCCACACAGGCATTATACAGGCATTAAAAATATAGTAGCCAGATGGTTGGGAATCTAATCCAAATGCCTCTTCCTGACATCTAGGAGCCCACTTGGGCTTTGCTTGAACCTTCAAGAATGTTTCACACTCTCCTCATCTAGGGCCTCTGTCCATGTAGGGCTCACTGCCTCCACAAGCCTCAAGCCCAACTGTCATATACATAACTGGACTCACCTGTGGCTCAGCCACACAATCTCTCCTAACATGGAGACTTGTCTGATTTGTCTCCCTCTCTCTAACCTGTTCCTCCAAAAGCCCAAACAGAAACAAACCAATCAAAGCAAAATTACTTCTCCTTAGAATGCCTTAAGAGCTGCCTCTGTGGTGCCCCATGCTGCTGTCTCTTTCAGTCTGTACTGAAGGGGGCTGATGCTTCTCCACTCAGAGTCTTGCTGATCCTGGAGTGTGAGCCCCACCTCTCAGGGTGAGCTCATTCCTAAAGATAGCAAATGATGTTCCCATGAATGCATCATCCAAATATAAGCTAACAATCCAGAAGCCCCAATACCTCCTTCATAAGGCTAACATAATGTAGGCCACTGGAGTCCAGCACGAGTCATCCTAGGTGACACCCAGGGCCAGGTGTCAGACAACTGAGGACAGCATCAAGCTACCAGAGCCCTAGTATCCAACTAGTCAATCCTAGTCTCCTTATCTGCTTAGCCTGCTCAGTCTGCATAGCCTGCATGGTCCATCCTTTCCTTTGGTATCCTCCACCTCCTCAGTGACACTAGTGTTTCCCTGTGTGGCCCTGGTGGGTGGACACCCCTTTTTTCTAGAGCACTGTTAACAATGAACCACCTAAAGATGGCTCCACATATCTGGATACCAGAATAACCTGCATGTTCACGGTCTCTGCCATCAGTCTCATAGCTCACACCTGCTCATTTTCTTGTGCCCCAGCCTGGCCTGGAACAAGAACTCCCTGTCAGAGAGAGTGAGAGCGAGTGAGCGAGAGAGAGAGAGAGAGAGAGAGAGAGAGAGAGAGAGGGAGGAGGGTACACTGAATACCCCACCATCACAGCAACGGAACTCCAGCTTCCCATATGTCACCTCACTTTTTCCTGAAATGTTTGCTTATTTGTAGTTGTTATGAACAAAGAAATAACTTTGACAGTGGAGCACTGATAGAGGCAGTAGACAGTTAGGACAGAAATTAATGAGAATGAGAAAACAGGAGAGAGGAAGCAAGTCCCTGTAATGCCAACAGCCCTACCCTGGCTTTCTTATGGGAGAGCAGAAAAAGATCAGTGGATGAGCAGAAAGTGGGGCACACCTACTCCTTCCCACTGGCAGTCTCCAAAGCATTGAATAGGAGTTTCTATTGACTTCTTAT